AACCCTTCACTGATCGGAAATGCAATGCTTTGGAATTTCGCGAGCTCTGGCACTCATAAGTGCTCTCAGTCGCATGTTGTGTGACATGGTCATGTCATGGCTGTGTCACACACACTGGACCCGACACAATGGGATGCGTTTCTCCAGGCCACTCCGACCTTGGTTGTACAAGCAGCTGCATATGCTTCTCGGATGAAATTCCACACTCGCCGGCTGACGTGTACCAGCTACACCCTGAGCTCACAGAAATGGGAACACAGACAAACCAGCCAATTGACTTTGCACAATCCATATAAGTACCTTACATTATGTCAACACACTTCATAGGACCCCGGTTGTAGTAAATGTAGGCTCTGGGAATGGCCGCACCTTCGCTGGCCAACTTCTGTCCCATTTCGGATGTTTCTGCTCGTTCCCCAATCACCCGTGGCCTAAGGCAGGCAGGTGTGCAAGTGAAGAAGGCGACAACAGATGCAAATCACATCTACTTTGTCTCTCCATAACTCATTGTGCCATGGGAACACCAAGAAGAATTATCCTTTATTTGTTCAGTGAAGAAGATGGTTGTTATTTCGTGTCTTACAAAAAAGCACCCCGCCAAGGAATTTACACAGTTCATACAGCTGGGCTGTACAGTGCAAGTTCACAAACCGGATGTCACGGGGCCGGCGCCCCAAAAGTGGTCGAAGGTAAAGTAGAGTCAGCCTTTACCAATCCAGCCGCCAGGTCTTGGTACACTGGCGATTGGGTGTACTTCAAAAGGCACCGAAATAAGCCGCCAGGCTTTGGTACGCTGGCGATTGCACGTACTTATATAGGGCATCCGACCACCTGTCCCCTAATGGGAAATCTTGTCCGTCCCTGGACCAGAGCTTGAGAATGGGGCAACGCGGGGCCTTAGTTCCGAATATAGAGTCGAGATGTTGGAACAGCTTTCGTGGGTCGCACGTCCCTTCGCGGGCACCGTCCACCCAAAAGTGCTCGATTTGCTGCTTCTTGTCCTCCGGTAGCGTTTGCAGGATCTCGTACCACGCGACCTTATCGTCGATAAGCCCTAAGGGACCGTCGTGGTTGTATTTAAAAATCAGTTGGTTCAAGTAAAGGTAGAAAGAGGTGGGCTCTCCATCCCACTCCCGCCAGGCCAACGGCGAGCGCATGTAGGTTGGTACCGGTGTGCGTTCTACGGCCGACCTTCCGAGGGCGGCTGCCTCTGCTGCGCGCTCGCCTTCCATTCTATCAAATCTGTAGATTTGAAGCAATTGCAAAGTCGAGGAATATTTAACAGAAGTTCTGAATGTAATAAAAGGATAGACAGATGGACGTACGGAATCTGTCAGAATATACGGTGTATCCACGTGACTGGAAATGAAGCGTGAACAAATGTGTATTCTCCGATGTGAAGTGACTGTGAAGTGTGTGCTCCAGCGTCCTCTCTGCTTCACTTTACTTCTGTCTAGTTGTCTGTATCTAAGTACTGTAACTGGTAAAGTGAAGCTTCTTCTTATATCTATAAAGGATAATGAGCTTTATTCTCATTCACTGTGAAAGAAACTTTCTTTCACTTCTATTGTTGTGGCCTTTTTCCACAGCGCCTTTGTTCCCGCACACTCTTTGCTCCTACAGTGGATCTTGCATACGTGGAACCCCCGCACTCACCCCGTACTTTCTAACAGAATCGCTTGCAAAAAACTGGCAGCTACAACTTTTTCTGCCTGTCTTTACCTTGGCCTTGCCAGGTACGGTAGATGCCCTGTCGAAAGCTTTCACCGCTCTGCCTGCATTTTCTGCCAGCCCCCACACTAGAAAGTTTTTAAGCGCCAAAACTTGGCTCTCTCTTCCGTCTTTCCTTCTTCCAAACCTCGCCACAGGTCAACTGCATTTCCGAGTGCGCTAACGACAGTTGGTCGTTTCACTTTGGACAATGCAGCTCGCAACTTGAAATCCCAACAATGCGTCTCTTCCTCATTCGTCACGGCGAGACCCTCGACAATGTTGCAGGCGTGTAGTAAGCTATTGCTGCCGTTGAGCACGAGAGCTCTCAGTCTCTAATGCCTCGTCAAGCGCAGGCTCTCGCGACTCGGCATTGACAGCCCATGGCGTCATCCAGGCTCGACGCCTGGCAAACCATCTCGCAGCGCTGGCGCCGACGATTGGCCCCATCAGGCACATCTTCTCGTCCGACCTGCAACGCGCAGCGAACACGGCCCAGGCAATTGTCGATGCGCATGTGCCGAAGATGGCTGTTGCTGCTGAAGGCGCAACAGCGCCGGTCGGGGTGGAGCGATTGAAGCTCGTGAAGCTTCCTGAGCTACGCGAACGGGACTTTGGGGCCGCTGAGGGGAAGTCGTTTTCCACACCTCACCCAGATGCCGAGTCGCAGGACGCAATGGCAGCTCGCGTTGGACGCTTCATACAGGGCCATCTTGTCCCTGTCTTGGACAACCACATCGGTCACCGAGGCGAGATATCCATCGTCGTTGTGGCGCATGGGATCATCCTGAACGTCCTTCTGCGCGTCCTGCTGTCGACCTTTGCTCCTGTCGAGCTCGAACGGTTGCAGAGGGGTGCAAAGCGGCCTCCGTATTTGGTCTCTTGGGGCAACACTGGCTACGTCGAGGCATCGCTCTCGGCTCGCTCGACAGACCCAGCTAGTCTGCCACCGCAGCTGAAGCCAGTGGTCAGCCCCTCGCCCTCGGGTACAAGGCCAGACCAGAATATGTCACCCAAGACACCGTCTGGTAGTCTGGCCTCGCATTCGACTGCTGCGCCGACGATTGCTTCAAGCCCACAGAAGCCGGCCATCAAGCTGACGGTGACGAGAGTCAACGTCACAGACCATCTTCGAGACCTGAAGAGGACTCGAGGTGGTATCGGCAGCGCCAAGTTCGACAGCAAGCAGCGGACTATGGACTCGTTCATGCGGCGAGCTGTGCCACCAGTGACACCGACATCGTCGGAAGCGGCTCCAGCAGCGCCCGCAGCTAAGAAGCGGAAACTCGAGAAATGAGGACACCAGCTGTAGACCGCTGGAGTGTCATACTCTTGCTTGGGCAGACTCACAGTCGCTTTGTTAGTGCCTGTCTCAGCACAAACTTTATGGTATGTTTATGCCTTTCATTTCTTCCCCCATGTCATATGATGAGAAACTTCAATTCACAGACCTGTACCGAAACATACTATGTGGAAAAACTTGTCCAACCGCTATCTGAGACATCAAACTCATTCTGTCTACTTTCATGTACTGGTGGGAACAGTGCGCTAACAGTTTGAAGATAGGTAATACGATGCTCCAGAGCACATATTGAGCCGCGTGAAAGACTCTAGGGTGTCTAGACGACTAGAAATGGCAAACCGTCGCACCATGTTGGCAGGACTGCTGTGCTTGCACAAGAAGTCGTACCGGGCTTTTACTCGATCATAGATTGACCGCGATTCAGCAGTGTCCGATGGGCATTCGGCCGCTGGATCAGAATGAAAACACTGTTGCCATCTCATAACCATGCTTGCACCTCCGTCTGTTCCAGAGTGGTCATCTTGTGAACCTTGTGCCTCTTTAACTAGAAATGCTTGATGTCGTTCAATGTATGACATGTCCCATCCACACAGACCGTGCTCGTCTTTAGAGTATGCCTGATAACGGCGTGATCTCTCCTGCAATGTAGATGGCTGAGTTCACCTCCTTGCTACCTTTGCCCTAAGAGCAGCTTACCCTCTCCTTCCACTCCTTCCACCTCTTCCAACTCTCTGTCCCGTCCGCCCTGTTTCCACCTGTTCCGGTTGCTCTTCTTGCTCTTCTCCAGTTCCCTCGTCTGACCCCTCTGCTTCACCCTGGTTTAGGTCACCATCTCTATCACCGTCGTCTTCATGCCCCTCATCTAGCTCTTCATCCTCATCATCACTACCTTCTCCATTTGCGGCTTCAGAAGGAAGTCGACGTGGAAACCACCCGTACGTCTCGAGATCAACAATCAGCTCGCCCAGCGGGCCTTGCAAGACCTCCACCCCCTCGGCGCGTAGCGCCGTCGCTTGGTTCTGCGAACCTGCTGGCTGACTCCTACACACACACACCCCCATTATTAACATTCTGTTTCTAAACACTGGGAAAACATCTATTTTATTTATTTTATTTACTTACCGCGGAGAGATGACCCCTTTAGCGTTTATAACCCGCTGCCAGGGGACGTTTGTGTGGTTGAATTGGAGGGAGGTGTCTGTGGGTAGGTGTTTCAGGCAGACGCCGACTTGTCGTGGACGTTGCGCTATACATTTACATGTGTCAGGAACCGTAGGGAGCAAGTCTTTTTTTTTTGGGGGGGGGGGGGGGGGGCCGGGTTAGACAAGGGGAAAAAACATGGTAATGGGGCACATGAAAAACCCGTGCAAAAAAGACGCCCAAAATGCCCATAAAACATAACCTACCCATCCGGAAAA